TGACACCACCACAGTCTGGAAATTTTGCTGTTGGATTTAAAGGGGTGGGGGACCTTTCTGTCAAGGTTTCATCCACGTGAGAAAAGAAACTGGGGAGGAAAAAAACTAAAAACCTACTAATTTGACAGGATGTGGTGAAATTTTTGGAAAGAGTGAGAATGTTGGCAGCTGCCTCACCAATGCCTTTTCCTGAGCTGACCCTTCTGGTCCCATGAAAGAGGTCAGAGCTGTTTTCTGCTGCCTGGGCTCCCATGTAGCCTGGAGAAGTAAATAAAGAGTGAATCCTGCACCCTCTGGAATTAATATCAGCTTTTCTGGCTTGCAAACTCCTTGCAGCAAGAGCCACATCTGCCCGTTTGTGGTGAAAGAGCCCCAAATTTCTGCGTGAAATGACATGAGTGCACTCACATGTGCAAGAGAAAAAGTAGATAAAGAAGATGCAGACCTGCTTGCTGGGCTGGAACCAGGCCATATTTTTAGTCTGCTTCTGCACTGCATTAGTGCCTTGGGATTTACAAAGCCACATTATGCTTTAAAAGCAGATTTAATCCTTTCCGTGTGTTACGATGCTGTGGCAGAGGCACGGCACCAGAGTTTGGGAGACTTGGTGGAATTCCCAGCCTAGGAAGAGATTCACTGCCCAAGCAGGGCAGTGCAGAGCTCCACAGGGGTCCATGGCCCATCCTTGTTGTACCATGGGCTGGGATGCAGGGCATTGCATCCCAGGCTAGCTCAGGCTGCAGTGATGCAGGTACATGCTAAGTACAGCACAGGCACTTGCTTTATATGGTCTGTGAGATTTGTAAACCTCTGGGGACAGGGACACGCTGATATCTGGTGCCACAGTACAATGGAGCATCAGTGTGGGGTGCTCTGGGCCCTCCTGGCACACAATTAATATGCACAGAGTTTCCCAGGTTTTGCAGAGGAGAATTTCTGTCCTTTTAACATTATGTTGCCTTCATTTTCTGCCCCACTAAGCTGCTCACACTCAGATTTTTGGGAAAACCCTGCCACAGGGGAGTTTACACCTGTCCTCTGTGGTTATATTGCTCTTTCCTCCTCTCCTGCACACTCTGCTGTCACCCTGCATTGTACTCCTTGTCACAAAACAAGCTGCCATCCATCCTCCTCCCTTCAGTGCACCAGGATTACTCGGATTCAGCCTTTCCCAGTCCTGATGACAGGGCAGAGTGACCCAAAGGCTGCCACCATCCTCCAAGGCAGACGTGTCACAGGGGGAAACCAGCCCTGCCAAATCATTGAAATGTGTCCTACTGCACTGGCCTGGGTGTGCCTGCACTCAAGACTCTCCTTGAGAAACCACAGGTGATTTGCTGATGTGCATTAAACTCATCTCCATTCCTGTGCTCAGAATTATTGATCAGTCTAACGACTGTACCCCTGCTGGTTTGCCATTTCATATCTATGTAACAGAGAAAGGCACATTGATTTTGCTGTTATCAAAATCCTCTTGCATTTGCACATTCTATTCTCTTCCTGCAATTTTCTAATTCCTTCTGGAAAACACGTTACACATTGTCAAGATCAAATTCCTGAGACATCTTGTTTAAATCAAGGGATTCTTAGCACCTTCTGTTTCTTTTGAATATCCATCTGTGCAGAAACAACAAATCCCAGAGCTACTGGGGCAGGGGGAGGCACTGGCAAGGACCTCAGTCTGGGGTCACACTTGCTGGTATCATCCTTTGCTTGGGGGATTGTGCTGATGAGGAAAATTAGCAAAGCACCTCTTGACAAGGAATGTTATGTGATCATCAAACACACTGGAGCTTTGGGGTCACAACAAGCATAATGTTTCCCACACCACTGTGAACTAACAATACCAACAATAATCATTTTTCTTACCTTAAAGTGTTCTCCATTGAGGTATGCATTTTTCCATTTTATCTCCTCAAACACAATGATAACCTTCAGTCAGTTAATTTCCTTTCAGTTACTAGTTCAATAGTAAATCTGTATTTGGGGTGACCTGTCTCTTTTGTATGGATACATTCAAATTTGACTCCCCCCTTGCCACACAACCAGAATAATTTAATTTTGTGTCACCTCCTCCTCAAAGCCTTGTAACACTCTTTTTTGAAGTGGCAAAGTTTTCCAGGGGTGAATTGTGGGCAGGAAGATGCAGATGAAGATGGGTTTTAGCTGGGGTTGCTGGTGCTCAGCAGCAGAGCCTTCCCTGCAGCCCCCCAGGCTCACAGGTGTGTGCTGGCTCAGCCAGCTGTGCACCCTCAAACCCCAAACACCTTGCTTCCCCTTCCCTAATAAGCATGTAATCAAATTAAGGCTGCAACTCATTATATGTGATGGCACCCTTTCCTGCAAGGCCTCTCTGCTGACCCAGAATCTGGCAATAAACATGGAAATGCCTCCAGTGTGGTGGGATATCAACATTATTCTATAGCATATCTGTAATATCAATATTCATATAGTATTAAAAATTAATGCACACGTTTCTATTAATAATGAAATTACTGCAATATTAATAAAGTTAAAACACACGTTGGCACAGATCTAAGTGCACTGAATGAAGGGAAGTGTTCAAACCAGCCTCTCTCTTCACAAGCTGAAGGTATGAGGAATGAGGCTTTTCCCTTGCACCAAGGAGGTTCCAGGGCTGCACAGGGTCTCTTTAATTTTCTCATCTAATTTTTCCAGCAGGGGCTTGTCCCCTTCCCTCATTTTGAGGCAGGTGAGGAAGCTGTCCCTGGCCTGAGATAATTTCCAGAGTGATTCTGGGGCAAACTGAGCAGCACAGGGGACTGCAGAATACTTTTTTTGGCAAGGTTAGCTTGAGGCTGGCCACCTTTTCTGTGGGTCATTTTGAGTCATTTGCTGTGCTCCTCATGACAAAAGCTGGCTCCAGGGAGAAGCAGAGGGGACTGCATGGCCATTCACATTTGGAAATATTTGTGGTCACTGGTTTGTCTATTATCAAAGGTAAAGGGTGCCCTCCCAGCCCCTGCAGACAGAAATTAAAGGCACTTTGCAGGTGTGCTTGAGAGAGGAAATCTCCCCTAGGATGGGAGAAAATATAATTGATTAGGGCGCAGTTTAGGAAATAATGGGGATGCAAAAGCTTAATCTTCCTTCCAGAATGATTCTCTCAAATCAACTAACCTCCATTGTGAATGTCAATTAATGGAAATTAAATTACTAAAAGGGGAATCGTAATAATTATTGCCAAGTGAATATAATGGGGATGTAGGACAGTGAGGTTTTGCCTTTATCTCTCCTACATCAGCAGGGAAGGTGTAGAGAAGCCCCTCAAGGACGAGTATGGGATAATGCATCTCTCAAAGCTGTACTATCCAAATACCCTGCCCAGGAGTGTCTGCAGGACACAGGAACTTCCATCTACTATAGATGGTGTGAACTTTGAACTCGTGTAATTGGAGCTGTTCTCATTACCCAGATAAATGCTTAATCCCACAAGTTAATTGGCACAAATTACAACTACAAAGTTGCTCTGCTCTTGTCTGATAAACTCTCCTAGGATTTCAGTTTGGCAGGTCTGAGGCAGTTGTGAGGTATAACTGTCCACTCATTTGCAATGATAAAAACCAGGGTTACTGCCTTCAGTGGAGTCACTGCTGAGTTATGCCAGGAGGAGATGAGGAGCAGGGCTACTGTTTCCTGCTATGGTCCATTTTTTGTGCTCTGATTTTAAAAAATGGAGCAAGAGCTGAGACACAGGCACATTTGGACTGCTCCTATTTTTCTTCTTGATTTTGTGTAAATGGAAGTTCATGGTATTGAGCTTATTTTATGGGGACAGACATGGACAGAAAAGCAGCCCTCACACTTGGGTGTGTTCCTCCTCTGCAAACCCAGCCTTTGTGGGTGCACAGAGTGTTTGGGGAGCCCCCCTGTTTAGGGACAATGGTAGAATCAGGCTTGAGGTTTGGTTTTAAATCCAGGTTATGGGAATTTCTGCAGTGCTGACCTCAATAAACGACTTGGCCTTTCACCAGCCCTTTGGCTTAGTGTTGAGCCCCTCTGAGACTTCAGATCTAATACAGGCACTTTGTACCTGATCCCATTAATGCAAACCAGATGTAAAATTACCCTTTCGTGGCACCTCAGTCCTTTTCTCTTTTTTTTTCTGTCACCACTTGCACAGCTGCAGTATCACCACTGCAAAGGGGGAGGCAAAATGCAGAGGACAGGAGTGGGTACCCTGGGGATGGGCTGTCTTCAGCCAGGAGGATTCAATCCCTTTCAAGACTTTTCTTCCCCTAACATATGCAGAATCCATGAGGATCTGGCAATAACTAATCCAATTATTCTCTTCTGTCTCCTGAAGAAGGTTGTGGAGCCCAGTAGAAGGTACCTGGTAACTCACAGGGATGTTTCTGCTCTAGGTTTTACAGGTCTGGCCTTGATACAGGGTGCTCACTTCTCCAACCCCCCCATCTCCACCAGTAGCAAAGCACTGATTGTTGAAAGATGAATGACTTCACTTTTTCCAGTTCCAGCATATGTTTGCATGTCTGAGAGCAAGAAACATGTGAATCTCACATAAACTATTGAAATTCCAGCTCTGGGGACTGACAAGTAAATATGAAATCACACTGTATTTCATAGAAAACCCACAAATCTTATGTTTGCTAGGCTAAAGTTGATCCTTTGAGGCATGAGCCAAGAGAAACCTCTCGTATTATTTACACCAAGATTCCTCTAAATTCTGAAACTGCAGCTTGATTGAGGAGTTCATGCTTTGTAAACTCCAAGTTTCCCAAGAAGCAGCCAGAGGCACATAATCTTTTGCTAAGCTATCCATAAGGAGCTCTGGTAGCTTGGGTGAATCAAGTGTGGGATAACAGATTACACTGAATAAAAATGAAAAACCACAATGACAAAATAATGTTATAATATTAAAATAAATCAAATCATACACTGCCATTATTCTGATACAGAATTTTTGCACAGCAAATTTGATACATATACAAGAAGTCAGGCAGCCCATTACAATAAACTTTAGGGTTCCTTTTTTCTTTAATATAAACTACATCTTAATACATAGTTTGAGATGATCAGGTAGTTTTACACCAATTCAAGTAACAACAACTTCTCATCTTAGAATACTAAAATGACAAAATCTTTTAATGCTCTGAATACTGAAATGCTTTGGTTCCACCTGCCACTTTTTAAAAGTGTAAAAACTACATCTATTGGCTAAACCTTTACCCTAGAGGTGTGCCTAACTTACAAATAAAATTATATTAATAAAGATACGAAATGCAACTTAAATACAGTTCTTCTGGCAATTGTCATATGCTTCACACTATGCAGTAATCCAACTCTCAGTTCAATTCAGGCGTTCCAAAGTGTAGAGATGTGGCCAAATTTTTCCAAAACTGGCAATAAACTTGGATTTTTTCATTCTGGGGTTAGACTGGAACCATGAAGCCCACAAAATTATCCAGGAGTGGTCAAACCCCTGCCCTCAGAAAGAGTTTTGCTCTAGTAGATGTTGTTTGGTACCCCAAAATGAAAGCATCCTCCACTGTGAGTCCCTTGGCCACAACAGCAGTGTCCCATCCCCAGCTGATGTTGGTGAGGCAGGAAAGTGTGTGAAGGGCTTCCCCTGGAAGTATGGGGGCTTTTCTTGTCACAATAACGAGAGAAAGAAAATACTGAATGGCTCTTTCTAGTGCAGAACAGTTCCTGCTAAAAAAAGACATCTTCTTTTCTGAAGTCTGGCAAACACCTGAACTTGCTGTGAGGAGTCCTGAGGCAGGCCAGGCCTGGGAGGCACGGGCAGGTGTGGTGCATCCTCCGCCCAGAGAAGGGCACCTGGGGACAAAGCAAGGACATCAGTGACAGGGAGAACCACGTGGCTGGGGGCATGAAATGGGAGGAATGATGGGGATACGGGGAATGCTGCCCAGTTCCCTCCCTTCACAGCCAGGGCTCCCCACGAGCTGCAGCACAGAGCAGATGGCAAAGGCAGCCCTGTTGTACACCCTGGTCCAGCCATGGTTAAGAGCAGGATGTTAACAGTCGTGCTGCTGTGTAAATCTACATCTGTGACACATGTTCTCCATTTACTCCTGTTTCATAAAGGAGTTTGTTGTGAAACTGCACTGGCCTTTAACATCACGTTTTGTGGTGCCACCGTGCAGGGCTTTCTGCGTGTCCCGAGTTCTGTCTTGTCACATGGCACAAAGCAGGACCTGGGAACCCTGGAATCCCGTGGTAACCAGGCTGGAAGGGACCTCTGGAGCTCACCTTGCCTGACCTCCCTTTGAGCAGGATCCTTTTCACCACAGGGCAGAGGTTTCTCATTTCATCCCACCCTCCTCCAGCCACACTGTGCTCCAGGGAGCACATATGGAGTACATTAGACAAATTTAATTCTGCCATGACATGCACATGCACTGACACTCTTCAACAACTTGGTCACAAGCTCTGTCTCTTACAGGACCCAAGCAGGACAGCCCAGTGGGAAATGTCTGGGAGCTGTGGTGCTGCCAGCTGGCAGCACACACTGAGCATTCCCTGGATGCAGCAAAGGAGGCACAGAGGTACAAAGCCACTGCTACCAGCCAGGCAGGCAGCCCTAATCCCCTCACTTCCAGACTTCTGTGTGGTTGAAGCCTAAAATTTTAATATTCCAAGATTTTCTTGTATTAATGTACAAATTTTGTCCTCTGTGCATGGTGCCAAGCACCAGCCTGACTCCAGGGACACCCTGCTGGGTGCAGGAGATGGGCAGAGGAGAGGGTCCACATCCCCTGCAGTGCCCCGGGCCAGCACCAGCCATCTGAAGAGCAGCCCCAGGGCAGGAGATGTCGTGGATTTCCCCATGCCACCCAGCACAGCCCCTCTGCTCCAGTGCAGCACACGTGCTGGGGAGTCCCCATGGGAATCACCCCTTTGGGTGCCCACACAGCACTGCAGCAAAACCCAAAAGCTGAGTGAGCTCTCAGCCTTCTGACAGCTCGGGTGATTTACTCAAAACACTCCACTTGCTACAAGGAAATGTTCCTTTCAGCAGGACTGCCACACTGCCAAACCTCACCTGCCTGGCCCTGCCTGCAAACCCTGCCTCAGACCCTGCCTTGAAATTCCAGCTGGGATTGCTAATGGCATCAGTCCATCACCATCTAGTTGTTGAGAAGGAAACTGGAAGGTGGAGCCCCAACTACCAGCCATCTCCTCCAGTTATCTCCTGGCTCCTCTGGATGTCCCCGAGGTGCCATGGCCATGGTGGTGCCTGCTTTTGACCTATCCTGCAGGTAAATGAAAGGTTTTGGTGATCAGGGCACCTAGCTGCTCCCTACACAAATATTTACAAGAGAGGAACCACTGAGAAACCCTCCATCCTTAAAATAACCTCATTTCATGTTCCCTAGTAAATCAATTTGCTTTGTGTTTCTCAGGAAGATCAGTGAGGTGAGGAATCAAAAATCTAAAATTAACCTCATAAAGCTTATAAAATCAATGATTAAGTCTGGGGTGGACAGGCATCTTCTCTGGTTGTAATTATGCAGGCAATCAGCTTGAAATATATCAGACAGTTTAAATTATGGCCCAATAACAATAAGCTCATAAAACCCTCTAGAAGACAATTTCTCTTATCCTAATTCCTGGTAATGAAAAGAGCCCTAACAAGAAAAACCTGCTACATTACATAGTAAAAATGACAATTTAGTCCCCAATATCACAGCAAAAGTTTTAAAAAATTAACTGCAATAAAATAGAACCCTAAACTTTCTAAAACTGAAAAAAATAAACTGTAGATACTGAGCTGAGAAGCCAGGGGTTGGAGTGAGAGAGGCAGCTAACTAGCTGCATATTTATGATCTGAATTTATTGCCTTATATCTTCCATTTGTGATGACTCTTGGGCTGTGCTCTTCCCTGAGGATGGCTCTGAAGACCACCAGGTTCTCAAGCTCCCTGGTAACGTCCCATTCAGTCTTTTGTGTTTTAAATAAGCAGCTTTTTTTCATACTGAATAACAACTACATAATTACATAGCCTTAAATGAATGCATTTGTAAAAATCATAGTATTAATAACACAGTGTGTGTATATATGTATATATACATATATAATTGAAATGAATAGGTAGAATAGAAACAAGGAGAGCCTGTGGGGACTTTTCTCAAGTCCAAATGTGTGTCAACACCTTCTCAACACACCAGGTGTCCCAACTGGTGACATTTTCATGCTGGTGACAGGATCTTGTCCACTGCCCCTGGGGTCGGTGGCCCTTGCTGTGTTCCTGCTCACACCAGGAGGGATTGGCAGGGCTGGGCTTGGGAGCTGCTAACGCTGTTTCGGATCACGTAACAAAACAAAGCAGCAACAACAAACTAATAAGAGAACAATCTGGGAAGCGTGTAGTGCTTTCATCCTCTGATTCTCTTCAGCATAATTCTGACAGTAATGCATTTCCTTACACAGGCACCTTCATCACTGTTCCCATGCAGATGCAGATGGCTGGATATTGTAAGGAATGAGAGGTTTCCCTGTTTTTCCACCCCTTGCAGGTTTTATGCCGTGTGATGTACAGCTCAGGACATTCCCCCAGCCCCACAGCCCCCCTGTGAGGTACTCACTCTGTGGCTCAGGGGATGGCACTCGTCTCCCAGATTTCCCATGGGGGTGCACATCCTCAGGCTGCGGATCCAGAGGCTGACAGCACAGCACATCCCTCCTCCGCACTGCTGGTCCCGGTCACAGGCCTGCAGTTCAACACAGCATTAAGCAAATTAAATGAATGATAAATGTAGTCCAGAAATAGGACAGACCAGGTGCTCAGGAGCTGCCTCTGGCACCCCTAAGTTATCATGGCTCATTAAGGCTGAATAATAAGATTTAAGGCTGCTTTGCAATACTTGTGTCTCCCATGGATTGTAAGGTGCAGGCTCCTGGCACGTTTTGGAGTTGAGACCAGGTTGTTTAAAGCCAGGACCTCACACGGAGCTGCTCTGGGCCAAACCCAGCACTGTCAATGATTTACAGAGCCAACTTCTGAGCACTGATAGACCATGGCATGTGCCCCTCGCTTTCCCAGCTCCCAGATGGGTGCCTGAGTGAGTTCAGGCAGGAGCAAGGACCAACCACACTAAACTTGTCACCAAAAGAGTCACCAACCAGTCTTATGGAGAAACTAAGATAGTATTCTTAGATAGCTAAGATCCATTAATTTAATGACTTTTAGGTAACTATTCCTTCTAACTTCATGTCATGGTTGTGAGTGCCCTTGCAAAACTGCATGATAGTTTTGTTAGAGAATCCCAAGTGGAAATGGCTAAAACAGGAGTTTAAATATAGATTCTGTGGTTGTTATCTAGAATTACACATAGCTAGAGATTTTAAGAAAAGCTTTGCATAAGTCTCCACATCCAAAAAAAATGCAGCTATGGTAGCATTCCTCTTCATGGGAGGCAAAAAAAAAATTTAGCCACTTACCCAATACAGCTTAGATAAGCAAAAGCCAAAATGCAAACTAGTGGGTATGTTTTAAAACCCACAAACCATGAAGAGCAATTGACACATTAGGGTTTGAAAACAAGTTACTGTACAGTTGCTTTCAGCTGCTTTTTAATCAAAAGCTTATATAGATTTAATGTAAAAAAACCTCCTTTCTCCAGTGAGAAATGCCATCAGTTAAAGGTTCTGATTACATCCCGAATGTGAGCTTGATTAACTCACTGCTCTGGGTGTCTGACAGCAGCAGTGAGACCGAAGGCACTGCTCAGCACTACGTAAATGGGAAACTCATAAAAACATACGTAAATGATGATAACAACTCTGGGGAAGGCACATATCAGAGTAAACATTTCCTTGAGGGAAAAACTCACTGATCTTACCTTGAAATTTGCATGATAAATTACTTTAGATTGTACTCACTGGGTAAATATTGCACTGACCAGCAGAAGCCAGATCAAAATATTGTTTAAAGATCAGTCAGTAATTTAGGAAGAAGCTGTTGCATTAGGATCGCTATTAAATAGTGTGTGTGACCCAAACACAGAGCTCTGTGCTGCAAGTAAGCCCAAACACAGAGCATTTGCTTCTAAGACTAATATGGCCATAAAATTACGACTCCAGCCTGCCAGGTAGATAATATTCACTTTCTGACCTCTCTCTTAAAAAAAAATAAAATAAAATAAATAAGCACTCTAATATATTATTTCACCCTAGTCACAAATTGCAAGTCCAGTGATTTTGGCTGCCCCCCACACACTGGTGTCCACTGCTCAGCTGGAGTCACAGGCTCTGCTATTTCTCACCCGTCAGCTCCTGACTCCCTTTTTTTTTCTCAGTTATATATCTTAAACTCCATTCATCTCTGTGGGACTGGTCCCGGGGTGTAACACACTCAGTTGAAAAACCTGAGTATGTTCTATCAAGCAAAGGTCTTGAATGTCCAGGCTGAACAATTTCTTTCCTAAACTCTCACACACACATATTTACATCTGGCAGAACTTTTAAGGCTCCCTTTCAAAAAATGTATGACAAGTTTTGAAAATATTCAACCCAAGCGTTCCTGCCCACACCTTATCTGTAATGTGTAATTCCTGCTGCTACTCCTGAACTTCCCCAAACACCACATGAGCACCTCATTAAAACACAGTTTTCTGGAAAATCAGCCCAAGAATATGTCCCAGGTGAAATGCCAGCTGCAAAGGCAACAGGTGTCAGCACAAGAACCACCACTGAAGTGAAGAAAGTTTGAAAAAAATCCTTAAATTGCAAGGGAAAAACACCTTGCAGACTCAGAGGTTGGGGAACACCTACGTCAGCTCTCATCAGAGATTTGCCTGTTCAGCAAAAGCCAAAAATGCATCGAAGTGGTTTAAGCAGAAATGCTCTGCAATAGTTAATAAAGTAACATTTTCTAGTTCTAGTCTATTTTTACTTTTTGAATCTGCCTTGTCCTTGATCTATTATTCAGTGCCTCACTATTACTTTATTTAATGGTTTAATTATGCTTTAAAGGTGTAGCCACGATTCTAATAACAGATAAACTGCTCCTCTGTTGCTGGAAATGTTTCTACTTAAAAGAAACTTGAAATCCTCAAATATTAAAAAATTCCTTCACATTCTCTGCTCTAAGAAAAATAATCAGTCCTGGGAACTGCCCACGAGCTGTTTCATGGACTTCAGGGGTCTGGACAGGGAGTCTGGACAGCCACAGAGAAATGCACTGCTGTGCGTGCAACTTCTGATGGTTACAAAAGACATGTAAGCTCTCAAAGGAATGCAAGTGCTGAGTTATTAATCCAAAGCAAACACTTAAAAAATAATTTTACATAAAAGTGATGCAACGCTTTGGGTTAAATAACGTCTTTAGGAAAAAAGAATATTTTCACAACCAGAGTAAATCTTGAGCCTATAAACAACAACAGAGACTTGTTTGCAAGGGGTGGCTATTGAGGGGGAAAAGCGGCACAGTCACAGACAAAGAAAAAAAAAAACGAAAGAAAACAGCGTTTTCCGAGGATTGTAATCCTGCCCTGTGCACGGAGGGGCTGGAGGAACTTGGGGTGCACAGTGGGCAGGGCTATGCCCTGAGCCAGACCTTCTCAGAGCAGATATGGGGACAGCTGGGGTTCCATGGGGGGAGATAGGAGACAGCTCCAGCCCTGGAAAAGCAGCAGGAATCTCTGCACGCTCCCGGACCAGCCTGGAGACAACTCCCGCCCTGAGTCCAGACATCCCTCACCCCAAACATTGTGTCATCCCCTCACCTCAGAGACCCACGAGCCCCGGCATTGCCCACTGACACGTCCTGGTATCACTCACTGCAGAGAGACCCCCAGGCTCTGAGACCACTTAATCCACACCGACCCGCAGCTCCGGGCATCCCTGGAGAGATGCCACGTCCGGTATCACTTATCCCAGACGGACCCCCAAGCCCTGTCACCTCTCATCACCTGGCACTGCTTTCCCTCCCACATCCTCGTTATCACTTATCCCAGCTCGGGCCATCCGTCACCGCACTCGACACCGCTCCGTCCTGGCATCGCTGATCGCGGACAGACCCCGAGTGTCGGCAGCGCTCACCCCGAGACCAGCCGGGGGAATCCGGCACGGCACAGCGCTCCCTTCTCCCCGAGCACCCCGCAGGGCACAGCGCTCCCTTCTCCCCGAGCACCCCGCAGGGCACAGCGCTCCCTTCTCCCCGAGCATCCCGCAGGGCAGAGAGGTCCCTTCTCTCCGGGCATCCCGTGGGAAGAGAGCTCCCCTCTCTCCGGGCATCCCGCAGGGCACAGCGCTCCCTTCTCCCCGGGCATCCCGCAGGGCAGAGCGCTCCCCTTTCCATGGGCACCCCTTATCCCGGGAGGTTCCCCCAGTCCCGCTGTCACTCCCCGTGAACAAACCCCGACTTCCTTCCCCGCAGCCCCGGCCCAGCTCAGCCCTCCCGGTGCCGGTGCCGGGTCCCGCGGGTGCCGTCGGTGCCGAGCGGCGGCGCTCACCCCGGTGATGACGGCGCCGTGCCCCGCGGCCAGGAGCAGCAGCAGCAGCAGCAGCGGGAGCAGCAGGAGCGGCGGCAGCGCCGGCGGGGCTCCGCGCAGGCTCCGCATGGTGCGGGGCCGGTGCCGGTGCCGGGCCCGGCGCTCCCCGCGGGCGCGGTGCGGCGCAGCGGAGCCGGGCTCGGAGCCGGGCCGGCGTTATAAAGCCGGGGCTGAGTCACCCCCGCCCGGCAGTGTGTGTGTCCGCTGTGCGCACACACCGCGCCCAGGTGCGCGGCTGCCGGCAGAGGGGCGGGGGGGCCGCGCAGGGATGGGGCAGACGGGGCTGGCTGAGGGGACATCCCACAGCGTGTTGGAGACATCCTAAATCACGTCTGGGACACCTGGGCTTAGGGGGTAACATCCCGCAGCAGTTCTGGGGGCATATCCCAGGGCTTGGGGGGAACATCCCGCAGTGTGGCTGAAGGATTTCCCACGGCAGGTGTGGTGGGGTCGTCCCGGGGCTGGTTGGGGTACACCCTGGAGCAGGTATGAGGATGTCCCACAGCAGATCTAGGGGTTCACCCCAAGGCTGGCTATAGACATCCCATAGCAGATCAGGGGGCAGGGAGGCATCCAACAGTAGGCTGGGGGGAAATATCCCACAACATACTGGGCACATCGTGCAGCAGGTCGGGGACAGGACACAGCAGGTCCTGAAGAGATCCTGGGGCAGGACTCAGCAGGTCTTGAGGAGATCCCACAGCAAGATGGGGGGATTCCACAGCAGGTCAGAGCACATCCCACAGCGGGGCAGTGGTAGCCCACAGCCACTGGAGCCAGCATGGACGAGTGCTCATATTCCTTCTGCTCCCTGGCCAGCAGCAGACCCAGAGCCAATGTTGCCCCTGTTCCCTCTGTGAACAGAAACCACCTGTAGCCCTCAACCCAGCCTCTGCTGACACCTGGCAGAGCTGTGGGCATGGCTGTGAGAGGACATGCAGGCTGTGCTCATCTTGTCTCGGGCAGAGCAGCATCAAATGTACCCCACAGTCCGAGTAAGAATTGGACCAGTCCCGTTCCTGCTGGAAGCCCAGAACCCCTTTGAATTCCTGTTCTCCTGTGGTTCTCCCCTCCTTTCCACAGGCACTCCCTGCCTCTGCCAAAGTCCTCCTGGCTCCCATGGCACCCAGGGGCAGAAGAAGAGAATAGTTCTGTTCTTCAGCAGGGCTGGCTCCCTCCAAAGATCCATGGGAAGACACTGAGAAGAAGGAGCACTGGGAGCAGAGAGCCCCATTCCATAAGCAGTGCCTCAGTGGCTCCTTCCAGCACAAATGCCAGGCCATGGTCTCATGGTCTCAGTGAGCACCTGTTTCTACATGCACACTACTGAAATACAGCACAAACCAAAGTCTAACCACTAAAGGTGGTATCTTTGGGCACCTCCATCCCCTGTGGGAGGAGGACATCACTAAAACACATGCAGTATTTCCTTCCCTTCTTCTCTCACTCTTTCTTCTCTATTTTCATTACTTTTCCAACCCTTTATGCTTCTTTTTGCCTTTCTTCTCCCTCCTAAATCCCTTTTCATCCCTTTTCCTGCCTCTCTGTCTCTACTTCCGTCTCTCTGGGTCCTTTGTTCTACTCCCATCCTCCAGCATGCCCCGTTCTCACAAGTAGATCTCTTTTTTTTCCCAGATTTTCCAACTTATATTTTTGTTCCAACTGGGAAGGCTGAGCCTTTGCAGAGCCCACATTTCCCTGAGCCCCCAGCCAGGCTCGTTCCTTGGCTGAGGTGAGTCTGAGCACAGCTGAAGGGGAGCAGGAGCACACACACCGAGTGTCTGGCACGCTTCAGCCCTGCTCAGGAGCTGTCCAATCGATTCCTTGGTGGCCTCCCCTCGGGGGTCAGTCTGTCTGGAGGTGTTTTCATTACAAACCTGGCCTTTTTGGGTGCTTAGGGTTATTTCAAGTACACTTAAGACAAATATGGGCTGGGTAAATAGAGCTTTACTCCGAGGATGCTGTAAAAGCAAATTGGGATAAGCCAATTTTGACGTGAAGGGATTAAAAATAGCTGGGATGTATCCTTAGCTGTTGTAAATTCATGTTGCTGCCTGAAGAACTGGAAGTTTAAACCAGGTGAAGGGATTAGCTTGTTTTAAATTCTGTTTGTATCCTAGAAACTAAAAACACATGTAAACCAGGAGTGATTATTTTCACAATCTCCACGTGCCCAGAACTTTCAAAAACAAATAATCACTTTCAGCTCTAAACCTCCTGATCCTCTAAACACACAACAGAATTGAGGAGCAATAATAAGGGAGAAGGGAAGAATTTTGGGCACGTTTGTATAGACTCAGTCATTTCTTGTAAAATCCATTTGACATAAAAAGTTTCATTTATGAAAGGCTGTCAGTCCTGAGCCTGGAAGGGCAGCATTATACATTACAGTGGGGATACTACAGAATTACTAGAAGCCACTCTAATGTCAAAATTCTTACTACCAACTTGTGCTAAAACTGTTTTGCTATCAGAAGAGACCTTTCTCATCTATATGGCCTTTAGACGATTACAAAATTGTAATGAAATGTTAATTAATTTCACTTAAATCATTCCTGTTCTTAAAGAAAAGGTGAAAGTTGAGGAGATGACTTTCTGAATATCAGTGCCATTACAATTGTTTTACTGCAAAAGTAGTAAAAATCCACAACGTGTCTTAAATGTAAATCCTCACAGTGCCCATTTCATAAATGCACCAGAGTTTCAGAATCTTTTTTTAATTTTTTTGCTCCACTTTGAAGAGTAGTCTCGTATTACTTTTCTTCATTTAAAAGGTTTTTTGCATAGCTGGGTTTTTACTGAACTAATTAATTCTGAAGGATGTGACATTTCTCTCTGTATCCTTTCAGCCTTTGCTGGTACCAGACCAAGAGCACCCTGTGGGACACCTGGGGACAGCACAGGGCAGAAACAGCTCTCCAGCCTCTTACATTATCACAGATACCATCCCCAGTCCTCCATGTAAATGCTTGTCCAGTGACACACCTGATACTCCCCTGGTGTAAAGGAATCTTCCCCAGAACCTTTTTTCCTTCCATACGGGAGCACCCAGCAGGAGGATCCAGTGCAGACACCTGTGGGCAAGGCTCCAGTGGAGCTCCAGCTTTGGCTGTGCTTGGGAAGGGTTTGGCTTCTTCCCAAGAGGGAACCCTAAAATTCCTGCTTTCAGATCGCCTACACAAATCCACTAAGCACCTTCCACCATAAAAATTCTAATATCAGGGTTAGGGAACATCACTCTGAATAATCACAATACTTTGGATTTGACACAGTATGATAATGATCATACAAATTCCTGAGTTGCTTTAAGAATTGGAGTGGAATACCTGCTTTTAGCTTTCAGTGCAGTTAGTGGGTCTCTCTGATTCTTCTCAAAGCCTCAGTTTTACTGAAGACTATCTATGAGTAGGCATTCAAATAATTGTTTGGCCTATTCAAGTGATAATGCACTACAGAGTTTACAGAATTTTGAAGACTAAGAATGTGAATACATCAGCTATCTAAAAAGATAATTTTCTCATAAAAGAAATGAGAAAAAGCATGTAATGCAAGACAGGAAAATTATCTTTTTGCCCTAAAAACTCTCTTAATAATGACAGTATCTAATTTGTGTAATCTTTCACAGTGTATATCCAAAAATGGTCTTGATTCAGCAAAATGGTGAAAGTTTGCTGACTCTTATAGAGGAAGAATATATTTATTTATATCAGATATATAAAAATGTATAGTCTAAGTGTAAAGGTAAGAAAGACCTCAAATGAGTTGCCTGTAGTGCCTGAAATAGCCCGAGCACACAAGTCATTCAAGAATAAATTTCTAAGCTGTACCCTAAGTTGGGATGTAGTCCTTATTTCATCCAACATTTCTGCTTTAGGTCAATAATTAATGTTCAGTGGAGGCTGACAGACAAACTGCCCAAGACTCTTCTCAATCATTTGTCTTCTCTCTTGGGGTCTGTACATGAGGCAGAATTTCTGCTGACACTAATTTACATCCCCAGCATTTACTCAACCACCATTTATGGGTTTTTTTGAGTTGCACATGTTTTCGTAAATGACTTCTAAGTTTTCTGCCTCTCTCTCTGATGTGGCTGGAGTTGGCCAGTGCCTTCTCAAGTTACCAGCAGCAGTCTGGCAGAGAAATGGAGGCTTCATACCTGCAGCTCTCAGTGAGACTGTAAAAGCCAGCTGGGGTCCGAGGTGTGAGTGGCTTAGCAAGTCTGGGCACCCCCGGCGTGATGCTGGCTCACATGGACAGCGGTTTGCATGATGTGGAGAAAATGAGAGGCAATTCAGGCTGTGAGACGCAATTCTTGCACGTGGGGTTTGCCTCTGGAGACGTCCATGGGGCTGCTGCTTGCAGGAACTTGCAGCATTGGCTGAGAGGTCAGCACCTTTCTGCCCCGGGATGGGATGCAGGTGAGGAGAGCAGCAGCATCCACGCACCTCATGCTCATGCCTGGCCTCTTCTGACGTCAAATAAACTAATTTCTAAAAAGTCTAAACACAAATGCTGATTTTGGGATTAGAAGAGGCACCGTTGTCTGAATTCCTACCAAATCAATCCATAAATTTCGTTAGTAAATCCACAATGTAGAGATAAATTGTGTTTTAAACTAGCACGTATCTCAAGAGATATCAAGCACTGACTTACAACAATGAAGACAACTTCCCTCAGCAAACCACTCCAACTCTTAAAACCTCATTTCCTGGTTGAATTTCACTAATCTGGACCAGCATATGATATTAAGCCCGCTAATATCAGGAATTTTCACCTTCCATGTGTAATAAGCTGGGAACAAATTCCACAATACCTGCTTCACTCCACAGCAACATTTTTGTCACCAACAAGTGATTCTGGTAGCTCACCTCCATGACCTTTCCAACAGGTCAACAAACGTTGCAAAGTCTCTGGCATGATTTCAGGAATACTGTCATCCCCTGGGAATAGCCACTCTGTTCTATTCTTAGTTATATAATCTTGCAGACCAAGTCAACAATTAGTGTATAAACAGAAATATAGTGAACACACTAATAAAGATGAAACAGATTGACAAAGAACTTCAGCAT